AGCTAAATAAAACATTTTCTGGAACTCTGAGAGCTCCCTATCAATGTCAAACTCTAACTAAGTATTGCCAGTCAGTTTTTTCCATATTTCTGAGAAACTATTCGTATGAAATATAAAAAAAGAAGGACAAAGAAGGACACAAAAAAAAAAAAGAAGGAAAGAAGGACTGCTGCAAGGCCTGATATTGCATTAGAACAAACAGAAGAATACAATGGTGGACAACTTAAAAACAAATATGGCGATGCATTTATTCGAGGCAATAATGTTTTATATATATCAACTCAACGAAAGAAATGAATTTTTTTGAAGATTGTATAAATAAAAAAAATCAAATGTTTAAACCAATATATAGAAAAAAAACGAAACTGAGAAAATAAACAACAAAAAAATAATCAAAAATGAATTAGATTATTGATAGGTCCTTTTTTTTCTCTTTTCACTTTTCGTTTTAAACTTCACTGTTCATGTTCGACGGGTTTAAATTCCAACGAGCACATGGCAGTTGATTTTCTTCACTCATTCGTACAAATGTATAAGAAAATAAACCGAACAATGTAAGTAAAATACCAATAAATTGTTTAAAATTAAGACTATCACCAAAAAGGAGATAACCACCAACAAGAATCCCTATTGTTTTCGTATGACCAACCACATTATAAGTTAATGCAGATCTAAATATAAATATTCATAAAATTTTAATTTGAATCCGAATCAAGAAGAAAAAGAAAAACTTTATCTAATACATTTATTCACACTACCCATGAGTAGAAATTACGACTTTCAATTCGAGTTATAAACGATTAGAAAAAATATTTTCTATTCAAAGTTGAATTATTTATTAAAAAAGAATTCAAATAAATTGAGCAGAAACTAGTTTTAGAATATGTTTCGCTCATAAAAGTTTATCTCTTAACTGAGGTTCATTCGACTCTATGGCTAATATAATTAGCTCAGATACATCAAAATATACAGTATATGTCCAAGTCGACTGATTTAGTTTTAACGGACTTCAAGAAGATTCATCTGTTTCGATAGAACACTTTTGCAAAAAGATAATTGACGATTGTTTCACATAGAAATAAGGCAATTTTACTTACGTATTTTTAATAACCCAATAAATTAATAAATTGACAACAAATGCAACAACACTCGAAGCTATAACAGCTATTACTGCCCGTCGTTGTTCTTCACTTGTGTCATACGAAGGAATACTTTCCATATACAATATGAATGGTACAAGTAATATTGCTGATAATGGTGTTTGGTAATAAAGTAATTGTTGAGAATTCATTTCTAAATCTTTTAAACGCTCACCAATCCATACTTGATAAAGTGATGCTGATATAACACCAATCGATGCTATTATTGTACCTATTGCTGTTAATTTAATATCATTAACTGAATGTGTACATACACCAACAACAACTGGTATTAATGTAGCTATAACCATACGTGAATAGTGTTTTTTATAATATTGCCATGTTATAAGTGCAACAACTGGTGTTGTTAAAACTTTGAATAATTGATATATACCTATTGTATTATATTCTAATGATAAATTTGTAAATACAACAAAAACACAGAATGCTACAGCTAATGGTAAAACTTTTATTATTGGTACTGATTTATGTACAAATGTATTCATTTGTAAACATATAACAAGACCTAATGATGTGAATGCCATTTGTATAGCCATTAATGTCATCGTTTTGATTTGACAATGAGAAAATATATATTTATTAAGAAATATAATACAGATAGATGATAAAATATTCGATGCGCAACCTGTTGCAACATGAATATGTTCTCGAATCATATTGTTTGATGTTGATGACATGTTTCGTTTATCTGGTGGATATGATGATATCGGATCGATTTTAATCTATAGAAATATTAAATAACAATAGAATATTATTTGTAAGGTACGAAAAAAAGAAAAAGAAAATTTCTTTAGAAAAAAAATGCATACAAGGGATGCTGTTGATTGATCATCATTCATACGTGACCCGACAGTTGAGCCCACCGACAATTAAGCTCCCGACATTTGAGCCCCTGACACTTGAGCCTCACATGAAACAAAAATTAAGGGTACCCCCCTCTTTTTTGACCATTTCTAGATCTCGAAGATGGTAAGGCCGATCGAAATGGAATTTTTACCACAAACAGAACACCTAAAATGATGAGACACGTGTTCGAGGAAAAATTCTCTAAGGCGGTTTTCATTGTTTTTTTATGAAAAACCTTGGTTTTCCATAGGTTCTCATCTTGCCAAGGGCAACCCCTTTCTAACTTCGTCCGATTGGGCTGAAAACTTTTTTATGGATAGCTACGACTATATCTCAGAGGTAGTTTTGAGCGTTTTCAAAAATCTCACTTTCTTTTTTTTTTATAAGAAAAATACGTAAAGGTTTTTTGCCAGAACCAGGTTTTTGACCTTGCGAACCCTATAAATTCGGATGGAAGCATCAGAAATTAGAACGGTGAAAACTACCTCTGGAGAATACTTCAAAGTATCTATGATAAAATTTTCAGCCCAATCGGACGAAGTTAGAAAGGGGTTGCCCTTGGCAAGATGAGAACCTAGGAAAACCAAGGTTTTCCATAAAAAAACCATGAAAACCGCCTTAGAGAATTTTTTCCTCGAACACGTGTCTCATCATTTTAGGTGTTCTATTTGTGGTAAAAATTTCATTTCGATCGGCCTTACCATCTTCGAGATCTAGAAATGGTCAAAAAAGTGGGGGAGGGGGTACCCTTAAATAATACAAAAAGAAAAATTATTTGACTAAATTCAAATTCATATCAATAATTGAAGACTTTTGTCACCTTTAAAGCACAAGATTCTTATTATCAAACGAAAAACGGACTGTCTTCTGCAATTGCTCCTGGAAAAACTAATGTTTTGTACATTACTTTAGCCTTGAGTACAGATATAGGTTTTCCTTTTCTCTCAATTCACACTTTCATCCGCCTGAAGGTTAGAACCGAGATATTAAACAGCTATTAATTGCTTATGTATTTTTCTCGATATAATAGCTAAGCCATATTTGTCTTGAATCCAATATTAGAAAATTCATCATCGACTTCTGAGTCTATTTTATATCCCAAAGAAACACAGTATGAAAGTTTGATTGTGGTCGAATGATTACAAGGGGAACCTGTAAAAGTAAAAAAATATGCAACATTTTGACTTTTGAAGGAGTAATTGTAGAAAGCAGTTCGTTTTTCGTTTGCTAATAAGAATCTTGTGCTTTAAAGATGACAAAACAGTCTTCAGTTATTGATGTGAGTTTCAAGTTAGTCAAATAATTTTTCTTTTTGTATTATTTAATTTTTGTTTCATGCGAGGCTCAAGTGTCGGGGGCTCAAATGTCGGGAGCTCAATTGTCGGTGGGCTCAACTGTCGGGGGCCCATTTGTCGGGGCTCAAGTGTCGGGAGCACAACTGTCGGTGCACCATCATTCATATTTTTATCATTATTATCAAGTAAATAACCAGTGTTCGTTGACATCCTGCATATTAAATGTTAAATTAATTCAAATGTTCAAATCAAAAGACAATATCTACAAACATTTTTAAGCAGCAAAACATTAGAACAGTTTTTATGGGTTACTAGTATTTTTCAATGTAACAAAGTAAAATTTGTGAATGAAAACTGTAAGTTTAGAATAGGAAGAAATAGCAAAGAAAGAAAAAGACATGCAAGAAATTTTCTTTTTGGTTCATGAACATCAAAGAAAGAAAAAAATAAAGATCTGCAGTTCACTGAGGAAATATGATGAGAAAAAAGACATACATAGAGCAACATGCATCTTCTAAACAAATAATACTTGCACATGTTTTTTTAAGCAAATTTCCCTTGATTCACCTATTGCTTTTTCTTATCTATCATGACATAATGCGCTCATCGCTAGCGTATTTATACAAAAAGATGGATTACATTGTACAGAGCGAGAAAAAAAAAGAAGTATGATTTGGTTGTCAGTGAGCTTTTCGTAACTAGCGACTTGTGCATAAGTATACTGAAGCGAGAAAAATAACCGAACAGATAATAACATAAAGAAAAAAAAGAGAGCATATCTGACGTCAAAGTATAGAAAAAAGAACGTTCTTTTTTGCTACACAGTGGTTGCTTGGCTTCATTGACTATTTGAAATAGAATAAAGAAAAGAAAGAAAAAAAATTATTGCTCGAACGAAAGTAATAAACTGTACTCATATATTGTCAATGAGCTAGATTTTGGTTTATAAGAATATTTCAAAAATTCTAATTATATTTTGTTTGATAACATCAAAAACAAAATAGTATTATGATTTATTCAATTCTCAAAAGCTTTTTAGTACTAACGCAAAAAGCCATATTTAATATCGATTGATTTTGATTAAATATATATTTTTATTAACCTCAATATCATGATCGAATCAAAGTTAATTAGAAAAAAAAATGACTCACATGTGTTGAACACAAGAAAAAAAAATATGAATTGTACTTCATTATCGAAATCAATTAGAATTCTTTATATTCCTCCATATTATGAAAATCATTTTGAATTAGCATTGGATAGATTAATAATCCATGATAAACACGTTAAATATCACATATTTATAATTAATAAAAAATTTACATCAGTTAATCGTAATTTTTTGTTATCAATGTGTAGAAATCTAATCAATGAAGGACATATACAAATGCTTATTAGTGATAGTTATATAGGTCAATTAATAGTAACTAAATTATGCCAAAAGTATCCACAAATACATAACAGTGGAATAAATCTTATTCATACACTGGAATGTATAAATCGATCTTCAATAATATAATTATTTGGTATACATGAATGTATACCAACATTATGTATCGATATAACAGACGATTGGAAAACAAATTTTGCAATCGTAGAAACATTTTTATCAAATAATAATATTGATGGTTATATGAAATCATTATATAGTTTTGATAATCAATCGTCTAGTTTACGTTTTTCGAAGTGGAAAAAGAATATGGATCTTATTAATACTTATATTGAACGTTATAAACAACAATATCTGTTAAGTCTGCTGCCGTTTTTTCGTGTTTATATATCAATAAAACAATATCCATTAATTTTTAAACCAAGTTATTTTATTCAACCGTTTTTTGATCTTGTTACATATCCATATTGGCGTCTTGTTATTGCTAGCGCATGCATATATGAAAAAGAAATTATAATGTGGCCTCTAGTTGATGGTTATTCTGGATGGTAAAATCTTTATATTAATTCTACTATTTCCAATTCAAATAATTCGTTAGAAAAGAAAAACCTTTCTAGTAAAGAAATTTTCCTGGGCTCCGATTCATCCTATAATTCCTATTTTTTTGAAAAATCCTATATTTTGACCTATATTTCGATTGATTTTTCTATTTTTCCTATATTTTGTCAAAAAAGTGGAAAAATTTTACGAGACTTGACTTTTTCCTGAGGGGGAGTACAGGCAGGGTTGCCAGATCATCCGAATTTTTCGGAAATTTCCGAATTTTCTAAGTTTTTCAGACTGCTTTCCGAATTCATCCGAATTCTTGAGATTTTTCCGAATTTTTTTGAATCGCAGTATTTTTTAAAAATTTCATTTTGCATTACAATTTTCGATAGAACTTTTGATAGATTTCATATTGCGCCATCTTTACTATCCTGTAATCATTAGTAATTGATTTTATTCTGACAGACAAGAAGGGAAGGGAGAGAAGATGCAATATGATACGCATCTTTTTTCAAATTTCATCTAAGAGTTCTCAAAATAGCTTCAATCAATGTTTGGTTTTCGAATAAGTCATATGAATGACTAGTATCTCTAGAAAGCGTAATCTAAATAACAATAAGGATATTGTTTTACTTTTTAATGGTTATATTTTAGAAAGATTGTTGAATATTGGTGCAAGAGCAAATGAATGCGTTCAATCTGATCACTTATGTTCATATTTTTTAAATATTGACCCAAAGACAGTACCGAGTTTGAAACTAATTGTTACCTATGTATTTTCTATTCCATGTAGCAGTTCTTTTCTTGAATCAATATTCAGTCACATGACTAACTTATGATCTGATTATCGAAATTGAATGGATATCGAATTGATGAAATCTGAGTTATAAATCAGAAAGAATTCCGATATTCCTTGTGCAAATGTTCATGACTTTCTTTTACTCAAGAGGAACTATTGAAAAAAAATAGCTTAAAATGAAATGTTTGTTCGAAAAAACGTCTTAGTAAATGAACTTTAGTTTCTTTTTCAATAAATGTTTTGAACTGTACAGGGTGTTAAATAACCTTTCCGCCCCCCTCTATAACCTAAAGTATCCATGATATCACAAATGTATTT